CAATCCTGTAAAGTTTCATTGTTATTGCATGAGTGGTATAAGAGGTGTAGTTAGGAAAAATAAAAATAATTTAAGGGCCATAACTCTGACAAAAATTATTGAACAAAAAAAAAAGTTGATGATATGCAAAACTAGACTTAGTACTGATCATTCCTGTAAAGTCTGGATGAAATTGCACTAGCAGTTTCTGAGAAGTAGTCTTGACAAGATTTTGTGTAGTTGGCAACACACGAAAAAACACCATTTTTATTCAAGGGCCATAACTTGACCAAAAATCATTCAACCAGAAAACCCATTTAATATGTGCAAGTACTTTAGCTGCAGATAAATCCTGTTAAGTTTCATTGAAATTGCATTATTGGTTTAACAGTCTATGCGAAAGATCTCTAAGGTTTACCGGACAGTAGCTCCTGTACAGTGAAACTTTTTACTGGACTGAACAAGACTTTACTGGACCGGCAAAAAAAACAACTTCATGGTAGCATTTCAAGTCGCTTGATTAGTGTCAGGATACAAAAGTTTGTGAATTGTGAAAGTGATTAGTGAAAAACATACATTTTATACTTAATTTGAACTGAAATAATTATTTTTTTCTCTTTTATCTCCATAATTGACATGTTGTTATTTAATGATCACTGAAGAAGATGTGCTTGCAGTCCAGTTACATCACAAATATGGTCAAAAGTAAAAGCATTTCTAGGGATGATTGAAAAAAGAAAATACTTGTGATTGAAAACTGGCAGTATGGTGATATGCAAACTTGTGTGTGAATTGATTACAAAATTTGGGATAGACTTGATCATCAAGGAGATAGTTCTATCCATAAGTGTTCGGCACATTGATTGGTCACTACCGCGCCCCCCACCTCCTCACCCACTCTAAAACGACAGAGACCTGACCACTGGGTTTTTGTCAAAATTACCCGACTTAAAACAGCAGTTTATTCGAAATGAATGAATATTTTTTTGTATTGCGCATATAAATAGTATAAAATTATATTATTATTTGTAATAACTGTTCAAGCAAAACATCATATGAAACTATAACGAACCGTTTTTCCGATGTCCAGTATCAGGTTCTGCAGAGTGCTCTCCTTGTATTTTTGTACGGAGTATTTTCATTGGTCTAAGGCTTTCACATGACCAATGAAAATACTCCATATGAATGTAAATGTTACATTCATTTTGGATTGAGAATTTGACAAATCAGAAAAACTCTTCATTATACTAAAGTATAAAATTTAGCAATTACAATTTTTTTTTAGTAATCATTTATTTTCTTATTAATTTTATTTTTATTTATTAAAACAAAAACAAAACAAAAACACAATAATTAATATCTAATGATTATCCTAATCAAGTAAATTATTCATTAATCAGTTTCAATGACTTTAACACATTAAAAAGTATACATAATAATAAATACATTAGATCTAATAAAAAAAAACCATGAAACTTCATGTTCAAAAGACCCGAACACAATATAATATTTTAAGGATCAAGGATGTACATGGTAACCTTAATACTAGACTGTACATTAAAACTACTGATGCCAACATATATTTACATTAAAAAAGTGCATAACATAGAAATAGTAATACTTATGCACGCCAGGCAAACTGTCGCTCCACTTCAAAATTGTGGTGTACGGTAAAAGGAGCGAACGGCATTTCCGAGATAGAGCGGAAGGCCGATTTAAACGCCTAATTGTAAGTATTGTTATTTTTTTGTCTTGTTATTCATTTAAGTTGTATATTTTTGAAAAACGGAAAATGTGGTTCCGTGTACGATTGATTTAGGCTTCCAATTATCTAAGCTGTTACAAAAAGAAAATTATATTAAGCCCGGGAGAACTTTTCTCCCTGACGAAGCGAACAATGATTTGTAGAATATTGAACTTCCCAACCATAGAAATGCCATACCTTTCGGATTTCTTGAAAAAGTGTATTAGTAAATTATCAACCCGTAATAAGAACTTGTCCTTCCTGCAAAATAAATTACTCCTGAAGGATTTCTTAAATTTGTAAATCGATATTTTTCGAAAGAAGTGGAGCGAAAGGGCAAGAGATGGAGCAAAAGGTTCGATGTTGAGCGCAAGGCGATATTAATTTGACGTATTAGGAGGAGCGTAGTCTATGATTTTTTTACATATAAAAGCTATAGAAGTTAAAATAGACGTAATCAAGTGTTCAGACCGATATATATACCTTTTGAAGACAACTAATAAAGTGTGATATCCTTTCAACGACTATAGCGTAATAAATGTAATCGCGAAGGTGTCACCTATGGCTTCCGTGTAGATTCCTTTATTTATGTTCGAATTTTGGATGAGGCCCGACCATTGAATCATACACATGTATGCATGGCATAATACAGGATGCCACTTATTCGAGGTCAATCATGATTTTTGACACGGTTATGTACATTTAAAAACGTGTGTCCGTGCAAATGCAACAAAATCGAATATTTTTATTTCTACCGCGAACAAATGTTTCCGAGCAGGTACGTGTAACTCGATTGTTCATGCCAAAATGTTATGTTTTTCGAAAGTTAGATATTCAAGGTGCAGAACAGAAACAAAATTATGCAATGCATGGAACACATTAAATTAAATGGATCACTACTACCAAGTTCAGTTCACAATGACTTTCTGTAATTAATAGCTCTAACGTACCTGTTCTGAGCAAAAACACAAATAAGCCACGTTTTCATGAATTTGTAAGGTGGGGAATCGCTTTATGAAAATGGTTGACAATGTGTCAGTCGTTATAAGGATATAACACGTGTTTCAGTTATGTTTCAAGATACTTCCTCCCTTATTTAGCATTGTTGTTTAGTTTATTATTTTCGTCTGAAAGTGTAAATAGAAATTTCTACTATAACTAGGTCTATATTATATTATTGATAATTTTAGTCCGTACACCGACTGAGTTCTGCCTCACTTTGAGACGAAAATAATAAACTAAACAACAATGCTAAATTATTTAACCAATCATTAAATCGCTAACATACAACTACCTGTAACAATTATTTATGATGGACGGATCAAACGTCAATTAAATTTTCACTATCGAATGATTGTCAGAATTAAGCGGAACCGCTCGACATATAACTGTAACGGTAATTTTAAATTAAAGTTATGATAACCTTTTTTGTCGACTAGTTAAATTTGATAAGATTAACGGCGTGTTACACTGTATTGATTACAAATGAAGTGAAATTAAAGATCGTTTCTTTCGTTATCCACTTTTATTTTCTTTACAACATAAGTGAATATGAATATAATGTCCGGCGCAAGCTTTTTAATAGTAAATCAGAAGGGAATAACTGTTAATCCACCCATGTTATGATCCATGATAGGAATCAACTATGGCTTTTTTTATCTTCATTTAATGCAATGGTTGCATTACATGATACTCATTCTTATTACTTGTTTCAAACTACTTTTAAACAGAGACATAGATAACAATAGTTATAATAATAGCTATCTATGTCTCTGTTTTAAATTAAAATTGAATATTCTGTTGTAACACAAATCCAATTCATTTAATAAGATATGAACAGTGAGTCAACATAATTGCGATAACATACAACAAACATCGATAAATGAATCTCCTCACTTCTCCCTAAAGTCTCCCCACTTCTCCCTAAATCAGCTGTAGGGAGAAGTGACTTCTCCCTAAATTTTGAATCTAGCTTGAGCCCTGAAACAATACTTACAATTAGGCGTTTAAATCGGCCTTCCGCTCTATCTCGGAAATGCCGTTCGCTCGTTTTACCGTACACCACAATTTTGAAGTGGAGCGACAGTTTGCCGGGCGTGTTATGGTGATGGTGACACAAAAGAACAATTTATTTGTGTATTTTTATTTATGGAACTTTTCAATAATCAGAAAGCACTAGACTCTGTAAAACTATGATATTTTAACTTATTTAACTATTACACATGGACTTAACAACATTCTGGCACTGAGCCAAATGTTATTCTATTTTTAGATTTTTTGTTACTATTTTGGTCAGTCATGTGACTTACCATCCTATACATTTTTAATACTTCAGGCCCAAATTTCTGTCAAAATTTATCTTGATGAAGACCTCACGGTAGGTCGAAACCGGTAGATAATAAAATAACATAAACATCCCTGGTGTTGACGTGTAATTTTCTTCTTACTTATCCTTTCTTGAAAAAAAAACAACAGGATAATATACTTTTTGCTCAAATAAAAATATATTTTTTTGGTATCTATATCAATTGATCATAAACTTACACATGTATGTATTAAATATCTTAATACTTCAATCAAATATTTTTTCTCTCTTATTTATATCAATAATAAACTTACCCATTTATCAAACATCTAAATAGATCTACTTCAATATTTTTTTTCTAATTTATATCTAATGAAAAACTAACGCATTTATTTTACTTTAAATAGTTCAATAATAATGTATTAATAAAAATGGGAAGGAACTGTCTTGCTTTATTGCAAATATGCAGACGGTTCTTCCCAAAAATTGGGAGAGAACCGTCAGGGAAGAAACATCAGGAGAGGAACTGGTAAAGGAGAGAATAGTCTGACTACCCTGAATACCTTTACAGTATGGTAATCTATCATCAATATGTTTATGTTTAACTTGTTGCAATATACCGGTACATTATTAAACTCCCCCACATTGAATTTTACACTAGAGTGCATTCCAGATAAGCTGATGCTATAGTAACATACCAAATTACTGAAGTTTTGAAATTCTGTCATGTGAATATCACATGACCAATATTGTGTATCAATGCATGGGTAGGTAAACAGATTGACCTCATTTTGGGAGCTATAAATAAAGATTCTGCTCACGGAAGGTCCCAGTTTTGATGATAAATTTAAGCCTTACTAACGCTTCTATACTGGAACATTTTTGATTACTTAGTGCTTTTGATTGTGTATAACTCCATGTAAACGTTCCCCACCCACTAATTTAATTCGCTTGCAGTGACAATATAGATACCTTTTTTAGCTTTCTCGTCTGGAATATTTTGTGCGCGCAGTCTTTGGTCTAATATATAAACCATCTCTCCTCCAAGGTTTATGAACAATAACGGCAAAGTTTTTTGAGACATTTCTGCAACAATTTCCCTAGCAACCTCCGTAAATCCGGTGAATTTTGACAGGTGTTACACTTCTCAAGCGAAACGAGATATTTCGAGAATGTGGTTTGACATTTGGCGGGAAGCTTCTTTCACTTTTGGGGACTCTGTTTACTATCAATCAAACGCTAGGATCGACTTGATTTTGGTATTAAGTGCTCTTATTTTGCTGTATTTCAAGTGTAAACATGGTGCCAGTTCTCCTCCTTTATGTGGCCGTTGGATTCCATGGTTTGGCTGCGCGATTCATATGGGAAAACAACCTCTCAGATTTATTAGAAGGAAGTCGCGAAAGGTAAATAAAAAAATTATTATTTTATTTTCATTTTCGTTGCAGTCGTTTAATTCAACCAGGTACGTATATTAACGTTAATATACGTACCTGATTCAACCAAACTGTGCAAAAACAGAAGTATATCATAGGATAGTATAAATGAATTCCATGTGATTATTAATTATTTCTGCCTTAATAACTTGTGCAAAAGATATCTATTCAGTAAATTCTTGAAAGTTTCCACTTGTCAGTTCAGGCAGTGGGTCAACTCGGGCAATAAGGACAATTGATTTTGCAGTTCTGATTTTATTATTGTTATGTACATAAAAAATATTTTCCTTTCTTCACGCATTCTCAATACCATTTACAAATATTGAATCACGGAAAGTGAAAAAAATAATGTTCAGATATCATAAAAATAATGTTTGAATATGGAAAAAGAATATCTCCCGGACATAAATTTGACTTCTTGCAAACAAGATACGAACCATGTTCTCTCAGTTCCATATCAAATTGAGCAGGTCATTCTCATAAAAACAGGCACAGAAATGTACGTTACTTTGAGTGTCCCTTAAATTAGCAGCTCATTATCATGTAACTGTTAAACTAGTCAGTAATTTTGTTTCACAATTCCATTTTCAAAAGATGTAGGATGGAAATAAACACGTTTTTTCTTAAATTATACCAAATATATTCAGGTTTTTGAAATGTTAAAACAATAACAAATTTTACAGATGAATGATACATATTTTACTATTTCAATGCATACTCCGAAGTTCTTTACAGATTTATCAATGAAAAGCAGTTCGATATTACAGTGTTATTGGTTTTTTATGGTACATATAAACTCCTCGTTGTAAACTAATTTATGCATGTAGCGGTTGTTTTTCTCACCCCAAATGCCTTAAAACTTATTTAATAAAAGTAATGTAATAATTTTGTAACGTACATTTCAGTTTAATACAAAAAAATATCAACAGTGAATTCATTAAGAAACTCTGACAGGAATGGGAAAACTTAAATATTTCTGTTTGGTATTTATTCCTTTTCTAAACATTTGAACAATTAACTACAAAAATCATCAACGCTTGGTCAAAATAAGATATTGTATATGCATACAGAAATAAGATGTATTTTAATTGATGATTCTGTTCATATAAGGTAAAAAGTACATGTAAACAACATTATATGTGCATATTTAACCCTTTATGACAACATACGTGCGTGATAAAATGCTTTAAAATATCAATCTTGAGCTTTTTTGAAGACTTTCTTAAAAACTTTATTAAATACTGTTGTAAACTCTCATTGGTAACGTACATTTCAGTTTTCTTGCATGGGTGTTGTACATAAAAAGACACCAATTAATATTTAACATTCTAAACAAAATGTTTTCTATTTTTAATTTTTAAAACAACAAACATTTTTACCTTATAAAATAATTTAAAAACACATGTGATCATCCCAGCCTGTATGCTACGTTATTGATTGTTACGAGGATAATTTAACAGCAATGTCCAGAAATGTTTTGAGCCCCATTATGGTGTAATTGATAAAATTTGTTGCATTTTTATGTAAAAAAAAAAAAAAAAAGAAAACATGTTTTATTATGGCAAACTTCAATTTTATGTGCAACTGTGCAAGAAACATACATTTGAAGATGATTCATCGAAAGTCCTGTTAATTTCCTTCATTAGAAATTCGCATGTTTTAAGACATTATGATTACCAAAATCACATTTGTGAAATGCATGTAAAAATAAATGCTTTAGAAGTGTGACACATTAACTTGATTATTTTGTTGCTTTACAATATATTCCAGTGTTCTTTTCACAATAAGGTAAATTCTGGAAAACATTATTTACTTTATACGAAACATTGCTTATATGAAACATTGTTTGCTATTGTTTTATAAAACATTGTTTCTTTCATTCTTCGCTTTGTTAGTCAAATATTTCGGATTCTGTGATAAGAAATTCTAAAATAATGCTCTTTCAAAAGATAACTTTCGGTATCTTTCAGCTCTTGTTCTCTACCTGTAGCCTTTTTGAATCTCAGCCCTTAATTTCGGTCTCTGAAATGTACGTTACTACAATTGAAATGTACGTTACTTGTTGTTGACGTTAATGTAAGTAAGAAATCATTGTTTTTTAGACCTTTATAGTTCATACACAATGCACATTTGAGTGTGCAGATGCTAGAGAAAAGATTAAAAATGTTCTATATAATCACAACTGTTCAACTTAAACAACCACATATTGTACTAGTCCCAACTTTTGTAGAATATCTGAATAAAATTCATATGCAACTGATACAAATACAGTTATATTTAATTTGTTTTCGTTTTTAATCATACTATTCTTACTTGTTATTACATGAAAAACATATTCATTAAGTAACTTTAAAGAATTCAGGATATACCCTTCATTGAAATAACTAATACTAGTTTTGAAATGTACGTTACCAACAGTAACGTACATTTCATGGTACTTTTAAGCAGAAATATACTTTCCACTACTACTTTTTGTTTACATTGCGAAAAGAACATGCTATCACATCTCAAAATCCAGCAGAATGCTTTCAGTAGATATATGCTTTCAGTAGATATATTTTTATATACATAAAATGTTTTCTAATATAAATTGTAATATCGTATATCAAACATGAATTTACCTTAAAATATATCCACAGTGACACAATGCAATATTTATTTAGGCTTTGATGTTACAAAACTCTTCTCTCCATATAAATTTTCTTACCTGAGGCATCATATTTTAAATGTAGTGAATATTTTTTAAATTGCGGTAACGTTCGTTTCGGTAACGTACATTTCTGACCACTTTTCAATGCAGATCTGGACACAGTCTTGAGCAATTATAACACTTTCTCAACACATAACTTTTAATTGAGGGAAGCTTTAACTGCTTGACACAAGTCTACCTCTTTACATTTTCATCAGTTCCTGTAGCATCAGTAACGTGTTTCGCGGCACAAATTACGTTTTAATTTTCTCAGAAAATCATCCATCAATAACGGCATCTTTATATACCACTTTTAAAATACATTATTTTGGCCAATATGGCCAATTATCAGCCAGAAAACTTCAAACTTTGAAAGATCTTATTTTTTTTTAAAACATTTTCTTCAGTGTTTAAAAACGCACACTCCTAAAGGCATGTATCAGTGGAAAGGAAGAAACAACAATTTTGTTTACATTTTTATCATATTTTTCAGTATGTTCCACTGTTAAATTCACCCTAAGGCATTGTTAGATACAAAAAACACCAAACAATTGTTTTTATAAAAGACCAATTGAAACATGAAAATATTTAAAGTTCATTTTTCTTATAGAGACAGTCACGTACGTTTCATTTTTTACTATTGTGCGATAAATATTTTTTCAAATCATGACAGTTGACCACTTTTTTGTTTTGATTTAATCAAAACGGAACATGTTTGATGGAACAGATGCTTTAGATATAATATATAGCACATAATAAGACGAATCTGCTGCGTGGAAAGCGTTTTTATCTATTCTGTAAATGATATTGAGAATGCGTGTCTTATTTTGTTTCTTTTTATTTTCATGTCATTGATGATAAAGGGTCAAGAGCATGAAGTAGGAATTGGGGGTCAGCTGGACCCTGAAACTAATTCATCAAGCATTATACAATATTATAATGTTCATTAAACTTTCAAACCAATAATGTATACAAGTTCCTTTTTTGAGAAATATGTGGATATTGTGTGGAATTGTGATAGATTGAACATCTAAACATATGTTATTAATACACACATTGAATCATGACTGAATTATGACCAGAGACCTTAAGCATACAATTGTATATAATCATTTTTTTCCCATTTCAGTTTGGACCTATATTTACATTATATTGTGCTGGTGAAAGGCTAACCTTTCTAACAGATCCTCAAGATTTCCATTATTTCTTCAACAACCCTGACCTTGACTTTCAAGAAGCAGTTCAAGTCCCAGTTCAAAAGCTGGGTATGAATTTTTATGACAGAATTTAAATAATTGCTTGCACTAGGAAAAACTTAAAATTTATGAAATTGAATCTATGAGATATTGACTTTTACGCTTCATAAGGAAGACATACAGTTTAAGCAGTCTGTTTTTACAGTACAGTGGAGCTCTGCTAATCCGAACCCTTCTAATCCTTACTAATCCGAACGAAGTGTCCGGTCCTGATTTTATTTTTTATTTATTTATTTATTGATAGACAAACTCTTGGAGCTATTTTACATAGGGTCAAAGGGTTTCTAGGGTTGGACACTTTTAATATTTGTCCTATCAAACATTAATAGATACACAGTAGGAGGATACCCCATGATTATGCTTGAAAAAAAATCTTGACAGAATATTTTGGTCTGTACCACAGTACAATCTTGTTGTTTTTTTGTGGTTTTGTTTTAAATCTTCATATACAAAGGTCTCATAACTGTATCATTGTCTCCTAGTGTTGTTGTACTTACACTGTATTGTCTTTTGCTTGTGATTTAATAGTGACAGCTTTTGTTGTTATTAAAGGAAACCTATTGTTTGTCATCTATACTTGAGCAATGGCTAATTTCTGTAATGTAATTTATTATAAAAAGCTAGTAAGCTTGAAAAAATGACTTGAAAAATTGACAATGAGAATATAATAGTAAAAACTTCTGTTAATAATTATTGCAAACTTTTATCTTCAAATAGACTTTCGTTATTACTAATATTAGAGTTATGTATAGATACATGTATTTTAAACTAGAATTTCTTTTTTATTTGAGCATCAATAAGCCGTGAAGAGTTTTATAAATTTCACACCAAATTGCATGATATGGTGAAAGGTAGACTGGCACCCATCAAGATCGGACAGTTAGGGAACACTTTAAGTGAACAACTTAATAGGCAATTTGACAGACACGTAGATTTAAAAGGTAAGGTATATAGTTTGTTTTTCTTATTTAATCATTAATTTACTCCCCTAAACTTTTGGCAAATATGTAATACAAGTTCAGAAGGTTTAAGGTTAAAATTGAGCAACAATCAATTTTAACATTTGAGTTCTAGATGTAATAATTGCTTTATTTGTAGGAGAAGAGTTTAGTGTTTAGTCAGCATGATAAATAAATGATTTGTAGACAATGGTCCATAATGTGACAAATACTGAAAGGTCCATTAGTGAAGGATTTACTTGTGTTCATTCTCCTATTTAATGAATAAATTTGCCAAGTCTGTATTTCTTTTATAGCTATATTTATTGGTTGAATTTATAGATAAGATGATCTTTAATAGTAAAAATTGTGTGGGAGGGAGAGAAATGAATTGCACTAGGAAAATTGTCATTAATATAATATGCTATTAAATATTTTTACAATCAGTGACTTCCAATTTTATTCATAATTTATTGAATTATGGCAATACATCTTCTCCTAGATTTTTAATGGACCTATTTTGAGTTAAACATATTCTAAAAATATCAATTAAATCTATTCATTTAAAAAACAGAATGCCATCTTTTCACGGAAATTAAATTGTTATGATAATCATACCTGCAGGAGTGTTTTTCAATCTATCTATAGATTCAATTTAAACTGACGTAAAAGAAATTCCCCCCATGACGTATGTATGAGTTGCCCCCTGCCGTGTTACTGTCCCATTTATATGGTGACATCATAGACAATTAAGCTATTGACATTCATTCAGTGTATGATTTTTATTGATTGTAAACTTAAAGACTCTTGCCAAATTTAGAATTTGTATACATAATAGCAAAGATGAAAGATTATTTATTACTTTGTCCTTGAAAGATGAACATTACATATGAATGAATATAAATATCTTTTATTGATTTGTCTTCTTTCTAATATCGAAGAGTAGACTTTTTAGCTCAACCATAAAGAATTGAATTTGATTGAACACAACAATCTTAAGAATAAACCTTCACGTTAACCAGACAGACCTTGACATTTTTACTCTTAAATGACGCTGACCTTGAAGGTCAAATTATTAAAATTTTCATTTTTTGGCTGTGTCTGGCTATAATGTTGTTATAAATGAATGGATTGACTTCATATTATAACAACATTCTTTAGGATAAGACCTTCTAAAAGGTTGAACTTAAACATTGACCTTGTTATAATTTTGTTATTTATGTACTGATTTGATTCATACATGGACAAAACTTCAATTGTGACTAAACAGACATGTTGAATTAGTTAGATATGACCTTAAAATGATCTTGACCATCAAGGACAGAATTTTGCTTATATTTTCCTTACTTTGTCATTAATTTATGGAAATGAACCAAAGTTGGACAAAACATTAAGTGTGACTAGACAGACATATTAAAATAAAAAAAGTAAAACCTCAATTTTTATCTTTCTTTCTTTTTCTTTTTAAAGATTTGTTTAAACCATTTATTTGTGTGCTTTTAGAAAAAGTAAAAAGAAGTCGAGCGTTGCCCCAGGCCCGGTGCCTTTTGTTATGTCTTGTAATGACTGTATAGCATTATTTCAGACATGGATTAAAATAAAAAAACAAGTTAAATATTGATGCTGCACATCAAAGACGCCGCCAAATGATGTGAACAGTCAATCAGCATTGAAAATCGTTCTCTATTACAGTTGAATATCCAAAGCACAAATCAATTTTTCTCCATGTTCTTGGTATGTGCTCGTTGTTTAATAATAAAGTTGCATATTATTGTGGAAAAGTAGAACCTAATCCTAAATTCACAAAATAATGCCAGGTCTGAAATTCTTAAATGTTTGTCTGTTGCGACGAAGACTGAAACGTCTGGTCGAATCAAAATAAATTTTATAACAAATAAAATTGAAATGATTGGTATACTTAAAGTAAATTCAAGACAATATGTGCCGAGAATTTACCCATTTAAATATTGGTACGAATTGCATAATGTTCGAATGATTTTGAGGACAAACTATTCTGCAGTGATCTCCCTTTATAGGCCGTAGCGTAACCGGTTTGTTGTACTTTCTTCACGGTTGAGTGAGAACCGCCTCTCTGATAGTGGGCGTGGTTTAGGCTTTGTAACTTGTATTTTAATGATTTGACAAGTATTATTGATCAAAGTTGTCCTGGTTCCCTTCTACCCCGTCAACGAAGACTAAATGCTAGCATATGGAGCATAATATCAAATTTAATATGACAATTTAAGGCGGAGCCAAACTTCAACAAAGGCGAACAAATAAAGTAAGTGACACTGCCTCAGCTGTCACCTCTTTCAACGGTTAAGTTTTAGAACGATTGACTATAGACTAGCTCATTGGCACGTTATTTATTATGTAGATAAAATTAGATAATGATAAAAAGAATATGATATTCAAACATGGCACTATCACTTCAGTTAAACGTTTATTCTAATCCCTTAAAGCTCTGTGACATGTTGTACATCATAAAAGCTATTTTTATTAGAAAATTTAAAAACAGTGTGATTTTGTTAAAACAAAAAAAAAATACACAAAATCAAGTCTAAATTTTTCCCCATTGCTGTATGGACAAATGCATATCTACTAATAAGGCTTTAAATTTTTTAGGTCAAAAGTATTCAATTACAACTTCATTCATGTGCTGAACTACTATATAAGTTTAAAGTTAGAGTAGTAGTATATATGTAGTATATATAAATAGTAATAAACTGAATAATTTTGAATAAACCATTTAAAAGAATTTAACCCCTTAAAGGTTACAATGTATAAAGTTATGCTTTGACGTCATCCTAAGATTATGTGAAACATATTATGTAAAATCGCCTTTTGTTACAAATTACTTTAGGAATTAAATAAAGTTAATGAAAGAATTTAGTCTTTGTATATTTAAAAATAACTTTACAGATCACGTTTTATACATGGGCAAAATCTAAGAACAAAATCAAAGGATATCTTTATTTTAAGATTTGAATAACATGTACACAAAACTGTTAATTCAAGGTCTTTGTTTTTAATCTCAGATGGGTAAAGTTACAGCTCGAATTTGCTATTCCTTTCATTATCTGTTTACATTAATATTGACAAATAGTGATATCAATAATTCTTATATAAAAACATATTATTTCTTGCCTAAATCTTAACCCAGCTAAACTATGCATTTTCATCTGTCTAGCCTAATAGCGGAGTGGTTGAGTGTTTGCTAAATGAGTGAAGTGACCCTGGTTTGAATCCTGCCAAAGCATGCTTTTTTAGATTTTTACAACCAACTAGATTTCAATTCTCAGGATTTTTATTCACACAATGCTATTTGATAACATTTAGTTTTACTGACATTCGCATTCAACAGGTAAAATTAAAGACAATACAGGCGTGATTAGCAATTAATAGAAGAAAAAATATGTAACATTAATTGTTCAATAACAGTTAAAATTAAATACATTCAATTTTGCTTAACCATCATAAGTCTAACATTAAATTCTGCAAAACATTAAATAAATTACAGGTTTAAAGAGAAAATAGAAAGTTATGTGACACACTATAAAAGTATATTCTGAAAGCAAAAACCTAGCCTGGGTTCCAGTCTGTCGATTTGTTTTATGTGCTTCTGTTCGGCAAATCGACAGCCTGGGGAAATACAATTTTCGATCGAAGCGCCACCTAGTATACACCCCTAATATTACGGGTGTTATAAAAGAACGATAACTCATGCAACAACAAACTAGTTTCTAAAAATAGAAACGGAATTTCCACGAAGTGATCCGAAGCTCAACGAACAGTTACGGAGCCTCGCTTTCAAAACACCATTTCCGATTAAAAAATAACATTCGTTGACAAAGTTTATTGCATGATGAGTGAAATTGATCAACAGGTGTGATTAGTTATTTTTTTAAAAGTAGATAAAGTGTGTGAGCATCAGATAATTTTGCTGGACTCAATGTAAATGGCGTCAAATTTTCAACATTTATTATCTTCGCCTCGATTTCGATTTAGTTATGTAATTTGTTGGTCACGTGCTAATCGGTCTATTAATAGGATTATCATTAGTCAATAATTACATGGGAAACCCCGCAGGTTTCCCCAGGCGTTGATACTATCAAAACCAGAGATGTTGTGTTATCTATGACGATCGAGTATGAAATAGCGCGTAAGTTATGAATAAGCAAAAAAAATATCAACGCCTGAATCCCAGGCTAGCAAAAACCATACTCAAAATTAATGTGCAAAATTACAGATTTGAACTCACAAAACCATTTTCATTACATGAACTCTTCATAATCTGAACTCTCTAACCACTATGCTACTTGGATTTATGTGTCAATATCCATTTTTGTGCCCCAACTTTAGTGGCGGGCATTTAGATTTACCCTTGTTCGTCCTTCCGTCCGTTCACTTTTGTGTCGCACGTAACTCAAAAAGTATTTGACCTAGAGTCATGAAACTTTACAGGAATGTTGATCAGCATGTGTAGTTGTGCACCTGGGTATTTTCGTCTGGATATTTTTTGTATTTCTAGAGTTATTGCCCTTGACTTATTAAATTTTTTGCAATTTTCAACTTGTGTCGCATGTAACTCAAAAAGTATTTGACCTAGAGTCATGAAACTTTACAGGAATGTTGATCAGCATGTGTAGTTGTGCACCTGGGTATTTTCGTCTGGATATTTTTAGTATTTTTAGAGTTGTTGCCCTTGACTTAGTAAAATTTTGCAATTTTCAACTTGTGACGCATGTAACTCAAAAAGAATTTGACATAGAGTCATGAAACTTTACAGGAATGTTGTTCAGCATGTGTTGTTGTGCACCTGGGTATTTTCGTCTGGATATTTTTAGTATTTTTAGAGTTATTGCCCTTGACTAAGAAAATTTTTGCAATTTTCAACTTGTGTCGCATGTAACTCAAAAAGGATTTGACATAGAGTCATTAAACCTTACGGGAAAGTTGCTCAGCATATTAAGTATTGCACCTGGGGTTTCGCTTGTGGATTT